CATCAATTTAAAGTGATTTTACAGATATCAAACAGAAAAAGGTATCTAGGTAAGCTTTTCTTTTTTCTTGTATTTTGTTTTTGGGTTTTTTTGGTCCATACCGAGCAGTGCTCTGCACTCAGAGCTCATGCCTAGCGGGGCTGGTAGGTCATACGGGGTGCCAGGGATCAAACCTGGGTGGGTTGCGTGCACGGCATGTGAGTTAAATAACTTTTTTTTTTTTTTTTTGCTTTTTGGGTCACACCTGGCGATGCACAGGGATTACTCCTGGCTCTATACTCAGAAGCTATTCCTGGCAGTGCTCAGGGGACCATATAGGATGCTGGGAACCAAACCCGGGTCGGCCGCATGCAAGGCAAACACCCTACCCACTATGCTATCTCTCCAGCCCCGAGTTAAAGCACTTCTAACCATCCCTGATAACAATTCTGTTTGCTTCTGTTTTCTTGCCTCTGATGTGAAATGATTTTCGTTCCTGATTTCTATCCCTAGTATGGTCTCTTAATTTTGTTGTTCATCTTTTTGGGGGCCATACCCAACAGCACTTGGGCTACCCTCAACTCTGTGCTGGGGTCACTTCCTATGATCTTTAGGGAAGCTTGTAGTGTCAGGGATCAAAACCAGGCAGCGTCTCTCAGGCTTTGCGGTCTCCTCATTATGGCCTTTAAATTTCTACTTTTGTCCTGGGGCCGGAGAGATAGTACAGCTGGTAGGGCACTTAGCATTGCATATGGCCGACCTGAGTTTGATTCCAGGCCTTCCATTTGGTTCCCTGAGTCCACCAGCAGTAATTCCTGAGTGGGGAGCTAGGATTAACCCCTGAGCATCACCATATGTGGCCCCCAAATAACTACAACAAATTTCTACTTTCCTCAAGTCAGGCCCAACTGTCACACCCAGTGAGGCAGTGCTAAATGGATCCACGGTACATACCATAATGCTGTTGACGATTCTAAATATATTTGCTCTAGCACTGACTTTAGTTTAAATATACAAAGCTAGCAAAGAAAAAAATGTTTTTTTTAAACTGTGAACAGGCCTCCATGTTTTATGAGCCCATATTTATGAAGACAACATTGTCAGAAGCAGAGTGGAAGCATGAAATATTAAGCAACTAGCATTAAATAAGACAACCAGAGCAACATGATGTATTTAATGACAGCTGGATCATTATTTTATTTGTGCAGCATGAGGCATAGCAGGCGTCTGCCTGAGTCCAGGAGGTCGGAACCATCCAATGATCCTTGTTGACACGCCTTCGCTCTTTGTACATGAGAACAGCAATGCACGGAGGGGACATTGATCTTGTCGGTGCTCCTAAGGCCGGGGGCAGACCTGCCCTCACCCCCAGCACTGTGGACAGAGCTGGTCTCTCATCTCTTGAGAGACTGACTGTCCCCAGACTCTGCTGTCTTGCTTGAGCCTCTGCTCAGCCCTGCCTCAACAGCACCATCTCACAGCGTTTTCTGTAATGGTGCAAATATTCTGTGGGTCTGCAGCCAGCAATTCAGCAGCTACCCATCTCTGTGGCTGAGGAGCACTTGAGATGTGGCAAAAAATGGGTCTGGTGAGGGCCGGGCATGGGGAGGTAAGGGTCTAGGAGCAGGGTCACAAGGAAGCAGCTGTGGGGACAGAGGTGAAGGGTGGCACTGAGGAGGCGGGGAAGCAGAGCAGACGGGAAGCACAAGGAACTGAGTAGAGTCCCAAGGCAAGCTGAGGGGAGTAGGTGAGAGGATTGTCTACCTACAGGCTCCCAATCTAGACGTTCTAGATGATTCTTAGGAACCAAGAATCCCTGCCCGTAGGAATCTTGAGCTGTAGAACTGAGTCCACAGGCCAACACATCCTTAATTTAAGACCTGGTTCTGTTCTCTTTTGCTGCTCTAATATTTATTTGCTCTTGACCAAAGAACCAAGCACCAAGAACCTGAACAGCAGGTGCTATGGGCAGTGAGAGATGAGCAGAATAGCGTCCTTGAGTGAGCGGGAAATCTGAGGTAGGTGTTCCTCAGCTGTTCCCCGGCACTGGTGCTCTCACTCCAAGAAGGGAACCCCTCCTCCCCACCTTCAGTAACCTACCTTCTAGTCTCCCAGGAATTCTACTAAGCAGAGATGTTCTTGAGCTCATGAGCAAACACCGGAAACAGGGTTAAGAAACATGGCTGCTCACTCTTTACAATAGCCAGAATCTGGAAAAAACCTGAGTGCCCGAGAACAGATGACTGGTTAAAGAAACTTTGGTACATTTACACAATGGAGTACTATGTAGCTGTTAGAAAAGATGAAGTCACGAAATTTACATACAAGTGGTACTACATGGAAAGTATTATGTTAAGTGAAATGACTCAGAAAGAAAGGGATAGACATAGAAAGATTGCATTCATCTGGGGAACATAAAGTAACAAAATAGGAAACTAACACCCAAGAATGGCCGAGATTAGGGCCAGGAATTTTACTCCATGGCTTGGAGGCCAACCACACATACTAGGGTAAAAGGGAGCTCAGATAAAGAGGGGAACACCAAATAAAGGTGTTGGGAGGATCCTCCCAGGATGGGATGCTGCTGATTCTGATTTGAGGAATCAGATTGCTTTCCCAGCGGTGCTCAGGTGTTGCTCCCTTGTGGAAGTCTGGGAGAAGTTAGTTGAGAGTGGAGGGGTGCTTCTGGTGAGCCTGGAGTGGGGACAGGGCTTGTGACAGGGGTTCTTGAGAATGCTGATCAGCTGAGGGGGAAGGGAAGATGCTTCAATAGGGAGCACAAGAGCAGCTGAACAATGTTCCTCCACATGCTTCTGCCTCCTTCCCACAGACCACATTTTGCTCTGACTGATTGTCTAGGATCAGCCGGCCAATCAGTCTCCTGCCCCCGCGCCTGGCTGTTCCTCGCCGGAGCCCCTTGGAGGGGAGCAGGTTGAGCTTTCCTCCCCGCCCCGACCAGGGCTCCGGCAGCTGAAGACCTCCAGGACCAGCCACCACCATGCTGAGACCACTCTCCGCACACATGAAGGTACTGGCAGAGGGACGAAGCCACGCGGGTTCCGGGGCCGAGATCTCCAAGCCTACTCGGATTGGAGTCGAGCATCCTCCACCCAGATCCTCCAAATTCCAGTAGGCGGGGGTCACACCCACCACCTGGCCCCCTGGCGCCGTGTAATCCCATCAACGGCCAAGACTCAGAGACTATAAAATCCAGCTCCCGGAACCGCGCGGCCACGAATGCCCTGACATCTTATCATCTTATCAGGACATCTTTTTATGACATCTTATTATCTCATTCCTACTTTGGACAAACTTGCAGGCTATCGAATGTAGCCTGCCCACAGGGCAGAGTCTGGCAAACTCCCCATGGCGTACCAAATATGCCAAATACCAGTAACAATGATGGGTCTCATTCTCCTAAAGAGCCTTGAATATAATCTCAGGGCTAGGATGAAAGAGACATTACTGGGGCCTGCTCGAGGCAATTGACGAGTAACAGGATGATGAATGAATGAATGATTGTCTAGTCCCTTTCTTTCTCCTAAGCTTTGGGTTGGTCCTTTATGGAAAAATCAAGAAACACTGACTGAACTCGTTTCACAAGGACCTCACAGGAAACTGGAAAGAGAGATCTAGGAGCGAAAGCATCGGCAGAATTGGTATGTGAGACAAGAGGACACTGAAGGAAGGAGAGAGGAAGAAGGACTAGGTAGAAGCAACCCCTGAAACTTAGCTAGGCTGGGAACTGTGTTTTGAACCCCACCCTCATATTCCTTCATGCTCATCACCTCAAACCTTCTTGAGGAGAAGGTCTGAGAGAAGAAATGGGCTAAGTCAGCTTGGGTCAAGATGGACTTCAGTGCTGATCCTTCACTGACTTCACCCCTCACTTTACACTAGAAATGATGGAGCTGGAAGACGGTATAGGGGTTAAGGCATTTACCTTGCTGGTGACCAACCTGGGTTTGAGCCCAGGTACTAAATGGTCCTAAGCACAGAGGCCAGAGTAGGTCCCAGCACCACTGGGTATGGCCCTAAATTAACAACAAAAACGAAAACTCATGGCCCAGAAATGCTGACCCAACATTGACACCGAGGGATTTTTCTGCCCACCGCACTGCAGACTCAGCTCTCTGCATCTCCCGGCCCTCCCCACAGGCATCCATATCACTCCTGTCCTACCTCTGTTTCTTCAGAAACATCCCCTGGCCTTGTTTGGGGAAGCCAGCAAAATAATACTGTCCTGGGCTCTCTCCCTGTGCTTAGTAAGTAGCATCAAGAAGTGCAGCCTGTGTCTCTCCATGGCTTTTCATCCTTCTGCCTGCTCAGAGAGCCAAAGAGCACGGGGGTCTATGACAGACTGAGCAGGGATTTAGAGAAGTTTCTGGAAAGAGACACCTATTTGTCAATTACCCAGTGTGTGTGTGTGTGTGTGTGTGTGTGTGTGTGTGTGTGTTTGTGTTTGGGCGGGGGAGGGGGGTCGGTTCTAGCAACTGTGAGTGGTTGAATGCCCAGAAGGATGATGTCATCTAATACAAAACCACTCCAGCTGCCACACAGGTCAAATTATCTCCCGCCTGGAAGATAAGCAACTCCTGCTCCTCCTTCTTCTCCTTCTCTTTCTCCTTCTCCTCCTTCTTCTTCTCCTCCTTGTCCTCCTCCTCCTCCCCATCCTCCTTTACCTCCTCCTCCTTCTCCTTTGAATCCTAATTCCCATGATCCTCTATCCAAAGCTCCCTCCCCCCCAACATTCCCTTCACTTTCCACTTCCATGAACTCTGGCGGCCTCAGAAGGGTCCTGGAAGTCTGGGAGGTATTGGGTTATTATCCTTACTAAGTATGGGGAGGAGGTCACTTTCCTGAAACTGCATACACACAAGGACAGAGGCATGAAAGAGGATAAACCTAGCCCATGGAGGTTGAAGTGAGGCAGCTGGAGTACCCCAGGCTCCCCAGTGAGGGGGGGGTGCTGCTTGAAAGGGTGAGGGGTCAGTGCACCCCCAGCAGGTCATTCAAGTCCCTTAGGAAAACACGGACCAATAAATTAAGTTGAAAAAGATAAAGGTGGCAGGGAAAATGAGCCTGGAGTACTTGTCAATGGCGTGGGTGTTCTGGAAGATGCGAAGACCCATCTGGCCCTTCAACAGCCCCTTCTTCCTGGAGGAGCTGGACTCACTGGCAAGGGCCAGGTGCACCACGATTTTGTCTTGCCTTTCTTCCTCTGTCAGAATTGGGCCCCTGGGGTACCCCGCCAGGCTGTTGGCCTCGGATTCGCTGTAGCTCCCATCCAGCATCATGGTTCTGGACGGAAGGATCCCACATGCGCAGGGTAACTGAGCAGAAAACACAAGGGGGAGGGAGGGAGGGGTCAGCCTGTGGGTGCAGCAGAGGGAGAGGTCTGGGATGAGAGCCACGGCATCCCAGAGCTGCTCTGAGATGCAGGACTCGAAAGACTCCAGGCTCACTTGGTCCCAGGCTGCTGCATCCAGGCAGTCTATGAGAGCCAGCTCAGACAAGCTTTAACTGGTCACTCTTTATTTTTTTAATTTAATTTTTTTTTACTTTTTATTTTTTAATGAATCACCATGAGAGTGATAGCACAGCGGCAGGGCATTTGCCTTGCATGCAGCCAGCCCAGCTGAGCCGGGTTCGATTCCTCCACCCCTCTTGAAGAGCCTGGCAAGCTACCAAGAGTATTCAATATGCCAAACACAGTAACAAGAAGTCTCACAATGGAGATGTTACTGGGCCCGCTCGAGCAAATCGATGAACAATGGGAGGGCAGTTTGTTGGCAGCACCGTGAGATAGTTACAGACTTGCAAACTTTCATGATTGCGTTTTAGTCATACAATGAACAAGTACCGATTCCTCCACCAGTGCCCGTTCTCCACCACCAATGATCCCAGTATCCCTCCCACCCCCTCCATTCCCCCTCAACCCCCCCACCCCGCCTTTGTGGCAGACACATTCCCTTTTACTCTCTCTCTCTCTCTCTCCTTTAGGGTGTTGTGGTCTGCAATGCAAGTATTGAATGACTATCATATTCAGCCTATAGTCTACTTTTGGCATGTATCTCCCATCCCAAGCAGGCCCTCCAAACACCCTTTACTTGTTGGTCCCCTCTCTATCTGAGCTGCTTTTTCCCCCAGCACTGGCCACTCTTAAGGTCCTCTCTGACTCAAAATTCCCAGGTGATTCTTCTGTAATACCAGGTTTGAGAACTTTTGCTTATTTTCTGGTTTGGTTTGGTTTTGGAGTCATACCCAGTGGTGCTCAGGACTTACTCCTGGCTCTGGGATCAGGGATCACTCCTGGCAGGGCTCCAGGACCATAAGTGATGCTGGGGATTCAAACTGGGGTCAGCTGTGTGCAAGAAAAACGCTTAACCCCTGCACTCTCTCTCTCCAGCCAAGAAATCTTTTGATATCAATCCAAACACCCTCAACTGTCACACCTACTAAGACCTAGAGGTGTGACAATCACTTCTGAGGTTACACAGCATGTCTGACCCAGAACTTGGAAACCACCTGTTTTAATATCAGATACGGGAATCAGCATGTGTGGGGCTGTGCCCGAATCAAAGGATTAGACAGGGGAGAGCTCTATTTAAGGGTAAAGGGCTCATAAGACCTCCGTGTATTATTCAATAGTCCAACTGCACAAATTATGGAAAAAACAGCTCGCGCAAAACAAGAAAGAATGTTCACCATGTTGGTGGAGGTGCTGGTATATTATCCTGCCTTCCAACTGTTTTGGCAAGTATAAAAATATTTCTATGAAATCCTGAGGAGGCCCGGAAAGTGACTCAGTGGTAGAGCCCCTTTATTCCATCTCTAGAGCCTGTCCCACACCCTTCTCCTACTTAAGTTAACACAGAAGCTTCCAGCTGTTGCCTGGGCTGGTTGTTGTTGGCTGGGGCGTGAGGCCTACTTGTTGTCACCAATTGACCCTGGATTTAATCTTCTCAACTTAGTGGTTTTACTGTGCCTCTAAGGAGCCTGGTTCACGGTACTGTGGTATCTCTATTTTCCATTTGGGAAAGTGCCATAATGAGATGCTTCACACCCTGCTTCTTAAATCTTAAAATACTCAAATGGATAACTTTAGAACGCAAAAGTGGATGGATGACTTCATGCAAAATTGGAATTGCTTGAAATAGTCTTCTGTTTTGTTTTTTGGATCACACCTGGTAGTATTCAGGTTTTACTCCTGGCATTGTGCTCAGGGATCACTCCTGAAAGGGCTCTGGGGATCATATGTGGTGCTGAAGATCAAATCTGAGACGGACATGTCTGCCAGACAAATGCTTTAACCTTATTTTATCTCTCTGGTCCCCTGAATTATTCTTATACTTGAGGAAATATTTTGTGGTTGGGGGGGGAGAGTGTCATTTTTATTTTTTTTAACCAGATATGATTGTTTACTTATTTCTATTCTCATTCATCCTGCATCAATAATCAAAAGGCAGAGCTGGAGAGATAGTTCAATGGGTAGGGCACTTGCCTTGCTGGAATACTCCCTGAGCACTGCTGGGTGTGGTCCCCAGGCTGACCACGTGCAAAGCAAGCATTCTAGTCCTTTGAACTGTCTTCCCAGCCCTGCTGAACTTTGACAAGTTGACCATGAACACAAATTCTCCTCCTCCTCCTCACTGTGTGCCAACACTCAGCTTTCTGGGATCCTGGGTGATAGAGGCGCGAACCTCTTCTAACATAGTCCCTCCCCTTTCGCCTTTGTGTTTCCCTTTTCGACGTGTGTGTGACCATCCCCCTTCCAACCAGCGGCTCGACAAGGAAACGCACCTTGTCTCGACGCTTCCGCTCTTTGCGCTCCTGCACCGTGGTCAGGTAGTTGACGGCCGCGTACTCCAGCACCGAGAGGAACACGAACACGAAGCTGACCCACAGGTAGATGTCCACCGCCTTGATGTAGGACACGCGGGGCATGGAGGCGTTCACGCCCGTGATGATGGTGGACATGGTCAGCACCGTGGTGATACCTGCCACAGGCAGGCTTAGTTCAGTCACTCGGCAGGGTGGAGAGCAGCACCCTGCCTTTCCCTCCATCACACTTCACATTCTCTCTTTCTTCCGTCTAGAGAGAGATCCCCGAGGCTGGAGCGATAGGACAGCGGGGAGGGCGTTTTTGCTTTGCATGGGGTTGACCCAGGTTCAATCCCCTGCATTCCATATGGTCCCCCAAGCACTGCCCCCCAAGCACTGCCAGGAGTAATTCCTGAGTGCAGAGCCAGGAGTAACCCCTGAGCATTGCTGCATATGACCCCCTCAAAAAAGGTATATATGTGTATATATGATACACACACACACACACACACACACACACACATATATATATATATAGAGAGAGAGAGATCCACTTCCATGCTGTGGATCCCAATACACTCTTTGCCATTTCTCTCCTTTGATATATTTATTATAGCACTGCACTGTAGCACTGTCCTCCCGTTGTTCATTGATTTGCTTGAGCAGGCACCAGTAACGTCTCCATTGTGAGACTTGTTGTTACTGTTTTTGGCATATTGAATACTCCATGGGGAGCTTGCCAGGCTCTGCTGCTACTTATTATATATATATATACATATATATATTTGATTTTTGAGTTATTCCTGGCTCTGTACTCAGGAATCACTCCTAGAGGTGCTCGGGGAACCATATGGGATCCTGGGAATCGAACCTCAGTTGGCCACGTGCAAGGCAAAAGCCCTACCCGCTGTGCTATTGCTCCAGTCCCCTTATTCTATACTTTTGCTTCTTGGTTTAGGAGGGACCACACCTGGAAGTGCTCAGGACTACTTCCAGCTCTGTGCTTGAGACTCACTCCTAGAGGTAGTGGTCTGGGGACCACGCAGTGCCAGGGATTGAACACAGGCATTGGGTATGTCAAACACATGCTCAGAGTGTAGAGCGCTCTCTCTCTCTCTCTCTCTCTCTCTCTCTCTCTCTCTCTCTCTTTCTGAGGTTCCTCATCTCCTTTCATTTTTTTTATCACTTTGGGGGACTGGTTTTTGTGAGGTGGGGCTATGTGTGGTCCCCAGGCTGTCCACATGCAAAGCAAGCATTCTAGTCCTTTGAACTGTCTTCCCAGCCCTGCTGAACTTTGACAAGTTGACCATGCTGGGTGTGGTCCCCAGGCTGACCGCATGCAAAGCAAGCATTCTAGTCCTTTGAACTGTCTTGTGACAACAAGTTGGCCTCACACCCCAGCCACCTCACCTCACACCTCACAAGATCAGGAGAGCTACAGAAACGGAATTGAAATTCAGTTGTGGGGTCTGAGGAGATAGTATAAGGGATTAAAGTGCTTGCCTTGCACACAGCCAACCCTGCTTCATTCCCTGGCACTGTATACAGTCTCCTGAGCATTGCCAGAAGAAAGCCCTGAGAACTGCCAGGTGTGACTCCCCAAACCAAATAAATTTTTAAAAAAATACAAAGTGGAATATTATTTTAGTCAGAATTTTTGTTTTTTTGTGTTTTGCTACACTTGATTGAGCTGAGTGCTTACTCCTGGCTCTACATACTCAGGGAATGCTCCTGCCAGGGATCAGGGAGCCATATGGGATACAGGGGTCAAACCTGGCTGGGGACATGGACCATAAACAGTGACTAAAAGAAGCCTCCCAAATCTTAAGGGAGTCCTTGAAGACTGGAAACTCCTGGAAAACTATCCCACTTGTTTCTTCCTTTCTGTGCCTCGTCGGTTTAACCTTCACAGTTCTCAAGGACCCACCCCGATTGTGTCCAAATTGACAGTGACGAGTTATAGATTCTCACTCTGGAACTCAGAGTTTGTTAAAGTCGAAAGCCACAGTCCAGGGAGTGCAGCATCTCCGACCCAGAAATCCCATCCTAGGGGATTCCTGCTTCCAAACTTGCTGCCTGTCTGAACAAGGTCAGCTAATATGACTCCTGCACTTAGAGAACACACATTGGGCCTTTGTCCAAAGTGTTTCATTTATTTACTTGTCTTTGGGTTTGGGGTTACACCGGGCAATGCTCAGGGCTAACTCCTGGCTCTGCACTCAGGAATCACTCATGGAGGTGCTTGGGGGACCTTATGGGATGCTGGGGACTGAACCCGGGTAGCTTGTATTCAAGGCAAGGGCCCTACTTGCTGTACTATCTCTCCAACCCCCTAACTTTCTCATGTTACCGAGTCTTGAGTTATCAGGATGTGAGTGCTAGGGGTCACAAGGGCTTTGTCCTTCTGAAAGGATTCCTGAGCAGATGGGAGAGTTCTAGCAGAGCGCCCCTGAGAGCAGTCTCTCTCAGCCAGGGGTCGCAGGGGCTGCTGTGGGTCCCCAGAATGTTCCAAGGGGCCACAGGTGAGAATTGTGCATGAGACTAGGGCCCAACCAGTAGGACGGGAGGCGGGTACAGAAACAGGGTGGTCACAGAAAGAAAACTGTGATATGTAAGAGTCGAATTGCAGTTTGGGCTCTGCCCTCACTGTTCCCTTTGGATTAAGAAATGTGTTATCTTGATGTAACTTGATGTGTATCTTGATGTTGCAGTGATGGGAAAGTGAGAAACATGAGAAAGTAGCTAAGTATAGATAACCAGGGAGAGGTGGGAGCTCTGAACAACCTCTTCTGGGAACCGGGCAGAGATAAATAGATCATAAATTTGTAAATCATAAAACTGATCAGAACAGAAGGACCCAGATCTGCCTTTTTCCTGAGTGGGAAGGAGGAGGTCCACTGAAACAATGAATAGATTAATAACTATTTACATGGATTCTAAAACAAATGTATCTATCACAAAGCTTCCCAGTAATGAGTCCCGTCTTATAAGTCTCATCTTATACCCCTCCTGCCTCAATGTGCCTCCGTGTATTGTCACCAAGTAACCAATGAAAAACCCTCATTCTTTTGCTCTTATCTCTGTCCGGCAAGTGTGCTAGGGTTCCAGGAATCTTCCTATTTAAACTCTCCTACCTCTGCGCTGGGCCTTCTTGCAGTCCGTCTTAAATAATTAAATCTCCTTCTTTCCCACCTAAAGTTGTTTCTGGTGTGACTGATGGAGCAAATTCCATTACAACAAAACAGAAGGAGGCCACAGCTGGAGAAAGGTTGAGAAGCACCTGTCTAGGGACAAAGATCACTTGTGGTTAGTGGAGACAGGTATGTATTTGGGGACTGAGAGCTGGTGGGGGGGAGACTGTGGCTTTTGACAGTGACAGCCCGTTAGGTAAGAGCTCCAAATAACACTTCTGTTATTGTGTGGTATGTGTGTGTGTGTGTGTGTGTGTGTGTGTGTGTGCATAGTGATCAATGAAAAAAAAAAACAATGGCCTATTAAACTCCTGCTAATGCTTTTACCAAGAGATACTCTGGCCGGCACAGCTCTGCGGTCGATCCAGAAGGACACCCAGGACAGCATGACCATCAGGGTGGCGGGGAAGTAGGTTTGGAGCAAGAAGAAGAAGATGTGACGACGCAATGTGAAGTTAATGTACAGACGGTTGTACCAGCCTGTGGGGGCACAGGAAAAAAGGAAGTCAGCTCCAGTCTAAGGCAAGAGCACTCTCTCTCCCTGAGAGTCCTTCTAAAGCCAAGTGAGACATCTGTTGGCTTCATATAACCTTCCCCAAGTCTCTCCTATAGAGGGAATATCTTGCCAGAATAACTAGTCCATCCACTGTCTTATTCTATATTTTATAGTTTCTCTTCATAGCATCTGGGAAATATAAGCAGTGATAGATGTTGTTTGGGAGGTTTGATATTAGGTATTTGCAAACCACATGACTTTGTTTTCAGGGTGACTCAACACTCAAGAGTATAAGAAGTTGGATGGTTCTACTTTGTTTGGGCCCGAGCAACTGAGGCAGGTCCCAACAGAGCTGGGCTCTTGTCTCTCTATTGGGAAATTGGTTGGCTCAGTCTCCACATCCATCCCCCAAAGAAACAAGTCATTCATGTGATTCTGCAGTCTTAACATACTTCACTCCTGAGGCTTCATCTGCTCTGTGTAAAGTCACTTACCATTTGGTCATTCACAAAATGAGAATATTGAAATGATCTATTTCATTATGGCAACTTGGGAACCACTGATTAATATTTGTTATAAAATATTGATACCATAGGAGCTGGAGCGATAGCACAGTGGGTAGGGCATTTGCCTTGCATACAGCCGACCTGTGTTCGATTCCCAGCATCCCATATGGTCCCCTGACCACCACCAGGAGTAATTCCTGAGTGCACAGCCAGGAGCAACCCCTGTGCATGGCCAGGTGTCACCCAAAAAGCAAAAAAATATATTAATATCATAATACCAGAGAGATGGTACAGGGGGTAAGGCACTTGACTTGCATGCAGCTGATCCCGATTCAAATCCCTGCTTCCACATATGGTCCCCAGAGCACCAGCAGGAGTGACCCCTGAGCACAGAACCAGAAATAAGCTCTGAGAACCACCTGATGTGTCCCCAGTCTCTACAGATCATTATCTAACCAGTGGTCCCATAATGGTGCCAGGGACAATGTGAATGTGTAGCATATCATTGAGGCTGTATCTATGCCCAGCCTATTCTCACCTTAGCTCAGTCTTTGGAGAGAACTCAGAAGTGGTCCCTCTCTGTATCTCATAGTCTGGGGTACACACAGTGGTGACAGAAAAAAGTAATTTCAGGGGTACAGAGTGGAGCCAAGTTCATTACAACTATAACAAAAGTTATCTCATGTTACAGAATATGACTTGACTCATGTAAAATTACAAGACTAATGCAAAGGTCAGCAATAGTGTTTTCTAAATTCTAAAATAATTTCCTCTGGTCATATAATTTTTGGTGGCAATACTTTCTGATTAAAAGAAAAATAATTTTAAAAATATTTTTATCGGGTGGTATTGGAGATCAAACCAATTTGCTGCATACAAAGCAAGTGTCTTAATCCCCGTAGTATCTCTTCAGACCTGGTAATGAAGATTTTTTTAAAAAAAGAATAGTTAACTATTATTTATTGTGTCTCATAATAAATTGGCTTCTGGACTAAGAGGTGCACAGTCGAAAGATACTTTATTTCACATCATTCCTGGTCTTCCTGTGGGAAGACAGTTTCTATGGCAACTTGGGAACCACTGATTAATATTTGTTATAAAATTTTATAAAAAAATATTTTTACTCACAGATAGTATAGGAGTTAAGGTGCTTCCCCTACATGCTCAACATATATTTGATCCTGACACCACATATGGTCCCCCGAGAATCTACAGGAATTCTCTCTGAGTGCATCCAGATGTGGCCCCAAAACTCAAACAAAACAACCCTTCTCCCCACTCCACAATCTTATCAGGGCCACACATCAACACTGCTGAGGGTTCTGAGAGTTACATTTGATGCTGCCAGTGAACTGGTGACCAACCTTAGCGTGTCCCCCATGCCAGCCTATGCTTTGCTGCCTGAACTGTCTCCCCAGTCCTTGCACTCTGTTTTTAAATGTAGTATTTAAGTAGTTTTGCTGGAAGCGGGAAAGCTTAAGTTAAAGAGGAATTCTAGCATTTTCTTCTACATCTCAGTTAGTGGGTGGCGTGCTGGGGTACCAGTGCTGCTGTAGAAGGCTAGTCGGGATGTGGTGTGAAATTTCTGAATCAGAAACTGAGACAGGGAGATCTTCTCATCCGTCTTCAGGGATTCGTCCCCATTCTTCCAATATAGCATCAGATCTTCATCTGTGTATGCATCTTTGGGAGGAGAAAAACTCGTTAATTTAACTCCTTTTTGGAGCAACAGTCCAGGAAATCTCACCCCAGTCTGAGAGTTAGTGGGTCTTGATAAGTGTGAGTGCTTGGAAGCACTCACCTTCATGGTCACTCACCCTGGACATGGAGCCAGGAGGGACGGAGGTGGACTGGTGGTTAGTCTCCCTGTACTCACAACTTTCCAGCTCCAAAGAACAGGTCTGAGAATCCAGGGGGAAGTGGCTGAAGTCCATGTTGCACATGGCTGTGACTGTGATCCTGAAACAACCCAAACATACCTGTTGGCTTAGGCAGAATCTGGTTCTCCCTTTTTCCCAGAGGTAAAGCACTGTGGAATGCACCAAGAGTTGCCTTCCCACACCTACTTCAAAAACCAGGAAACTCAGTGAGTGAAGTTACAGAACCTTAACGCTTAGACTTGAGCCTTCTCTAGAAGATGTTCTTGATACTCCACCTGGCTTTCATATATTGACAATGTGGGCAGCTGATGGCCTACACCTGCACCCTTATCTACTCATTGCTTTCAACCAAAATGTCATAGTCTCCCTCAGAGATGCCAGCCTGGGCACCTCTTTCCCTGTGTTTGCATCTAAATCTCTTGACCATAGAAACTGTCTTCCCACAGGAAGACCAGGAATGATGTGAAATAAAGTATCTTTCGACTGTGCACCTCTTAGTCCAGAAGCCAATTTATTATGAGACACAATAAATAATAGCTAAATATTCTTTTTTAAAAGAAATCTTCATTACTAGGTCTGAAGAGATACTACGGGGATTAAGACACTTGCTTTGTATGCAGCAAATTGGTTTGATCTCCAGCACCACATGGTCCCTGAGAACTACCAGGTGTGTCCCCAATATCCCCCCCCCCAGAAAAAAAACCCTCTAAAACCTTAATTTCCAGGGCTTGGAAGATAGCTCAAGGGCTGGAATACATATTTTGCATGGAGGTCCAAATTTGATCCCTGGCACCACGTGAGCACTGCCAAGAGCAACCCCAAGCACTGCTGGATGTGACCCACAATGAAAACAAAATCTTCATCCCAATATAGGAGCTATAGGCTCTTGGAGGTGAAAGGCAGAGGCTTGGCATATTCCATGGATCACTCAGACCTACTCCAAGCTAAAGAGGTACAGTGAGCAGGGATGTCACTTCATCTTCAGAGTCTGGCACCTAGGATGCTACAGACCCCAGTGACCCAATCACAGACCCCACCAACCAGCCATGGACCCCGCTAACCCAACCATAGATCCCACTGACCCAGCCACTGACCCCACTGACTCAAACAAAGACCTCACCACCCCAATCATGGACCCACTGACTCAGCCACAGACCCCACTAGCCCAACCATGAATCCTCAGAAATAATCATGGACCACATTGACCTAACCACATATCCCAGTGATCAAACCACAGACCCACAGACCCTACCAACCCAACCATGAACCCCACAGACCCCACTAACACAACCACGGACACCACATACCCAACCAACACAACCATGCTCACCACCAACCCAACCATGAACCCTGCTGACCAATTCACGAACCCTATGGACCTCACCAACCCAACTACAGACCTCACCCACTCAATCATGGACACCACAAAACCCACTAAACCAACCACAGATTCCACGAACCCAACCATGGGCGACTTAGACCACAGCAACCTAATCAACATACCTCATAGACCCCCCCCATGAACCCAGCCATGAACCCCACGAACACAACCATGTACACAACTGATCTAGCCACATGCCCAATGAACCCCACCAACCCAATTACAGACCCCACTGACCCAACTATAGACCCCACTGACCCAACCCCGAAACCAGCCCTTCAGGGCCTGAGCACGGGGTGCCAGTCACCTAAGGCTGTAGAGCACATGGCCATCAGGGAACACCCGCAGCATCACATTGTCCGTGGTGGTGTCGTGGATGAAGGAGCGCTTGGAGTGCACGAAGAACACGTCGGGCACCCAGATCTTCTTCACCAGCCTCCCGTCGAAGGTCATGCTCTTGTTGCTGGAGCTGCGGAAGGCCAGCCGCTCGTCCTTCCAGTAGTGCCGCAGGTACAAGGTCATAGTGAAGTCCTGGGGGACAGGACAGACTTGGAAAGCTTCCCTCCTTACCAGACACCTGCTCCTACCTCTGCCTGCACCGTCAGGATGTCAGTTCCCCTGTCGGGAGCCTGGATGGAGCGTGGCCGGGAGAAGGGAGAGGAGACCTGGCCGTGTCTGTGCCTCGTGAGACAAAAACCCAGGAGGCAACAGCCTCAACTCGGGCTGTGCGGATGGAAACATGTGTGCGAAGCATAATCACTAGCCCTTAACGTACCACTCTGGCTCTCTAGTGACCAGTTTTATTTATCTTCAGCCCTGGGGTCACATAAACATTTCTCAGGGAAGGAGGGGTCATAGCATGACCTTTCCCCACAGCCAGACCCAGTGCAGGGTGGATGGAGGAAGGATGCAGAGGTGCAGGGCAGGTGGCCCCAAGGCCCAGTGCCTGCTTTGGCTCCAGCCTTCTCGGTTGTCCTCCACTGTCTGTGTGACCTCCCTCGCATGAATGGGACCCCTGCCTGGTGCCTCTCCAGCCCTGTTCCCTCTCTATTCTATCTCTCGTCAATCCCCGTGGTCTCCTGAGCCTCCACGTCTTTGGCTTTGCAGAGAGTCTCCCCTCCCATTATCTGGTAGAGACCTTCCCTTGCCTACCCAAGGCCCGCACAGGTCCACCCGCACATCTGGCTGTTTTTCCTGAGCTTCTGTCATCTGAGGCATGTGCTGTCCTGGGGAGGGCCTAAACCCCAGAGACAAAATCTGGGAGTCTGGGACAAGCCCCGGACTCTGCATTTGAGCAGCACCCACACTCCAGGTTCCTTTTGCCCTGGAAGCTCGAGAACCCCCTTTTCTAGACATCGCTGCCCCTGGGTCAGTCCCAAATCCCAGTCTGAGAAGCCAGAGCCATACTTGAGTGGATAGGGAGCTTACTTTGCATGCAGGGGACCCCATGTGATTCCTAGCACCTCACATGATTGCCCAAGCAGCAGCAGAGCTCACTACAGAGCACAGAGCTGGGAATGGCCCCTGAGTACAAACCAGGTATGCACCCCCACCAATCCAGATTTTATCTCCACCCCCTCTGGCCTGTCCCCCTCCCTGACACCCTGACTTAGCCAGCTCCCAGTCTATGTGTGGCCCCCACCCCCACCCCTAGGCTCTCACAGAGCCTTAGCCAGGAAAGCACCCAGGAGGCTGTCCAAGGGCACAGCGTACCATGTCCACCTCCGAGATGCTGTCCAGGCTCTCCACCTGCACGTCCACGCCTACGGGAATGGCTGGGCCTGAAAAGGAGCAGACACAGCTCGTTAGGCAGTTCCCCTCCTCCTGAGCCTGAGTGGGGAGGGAGCCTGGGGGCCTTTCTGCTGGGGCGGGGCGCAGCTTCTGAATGGCTGAGGCACCCAAGGGAGCCAGAGGTTGCAATCACTCCTCTGGGGCCTGGGTGAGTGCTGATACTGAACTGATTGCTGTTTCTTGCCGGCTCAGCAGGGACAGGTGGCAATGCGGTGGCTCCGTGCATCTGTGGAGACCTGGGCATTGGTCTGCCAGTGACTCTTAAAGGTCAAGCAAGGCTCAAGAACAGCTCATAAAAGCTTCTTTTTCTCCTTCTTCTTAAAGTATTTATTGAGTCACTCCGAAATAAAGTTACAAAGCTGTTCACGATTGGGTTTCAGTGATACCAATTCCTAACACCCATCCCTCCACCAGTGCTCATTTCCCACCACCAATGACCCCAGTTTCCCTCCTGCCACCTCCTACCCCCACACCCAGCCTCTATGGCCCGCATTTCTCTGTCTCTTTCTGTCTCTGTCTCTGATTCTGTCCCTGTCTCTATCTCTCTGTCTCTCTGTCTCTCTCTGTTTCTCCATTTTGAGCATTATGGTTTGTGAGTTAGCTAACAGAACAAATATGATAACCTCTTGTATCTGTCTTGCAAACCATAATGTCCTAAGAGCTTCTCATGGGAACTGGGGTGCTGTCTGCCCAGGGATCAATATCCACAGAGCAACTACCCAAAAGCTGGGGGCTCTCCTCTAGGATATTCCTGACCTTATGTGGTTCGATCTCTGTGCACAGTGGGTCACAGTGAAGCACAACAATATGTGTAGCACTGTAGCACTGTCGTCCCACTGTTCATCGATTTGCTCAAGCCGGCACCAGTAACGTCTCCATTGTGAAACTTGTTGTTACTGTTTTTGGCATATCGAATACGCCACAGGGAGCTTGCCAGGCTTTGCCGTGTGTGTGGGATACTCTTGGTAGCTTACCGGGCTCTCCGAGAGGGGATGATTACCGTAATCACGTGTATTCGACATTTTTGGTTTGGAAGCTTCACCTGGTGGTGCTCAGGGCTCTATGACCAGAAATTACTTCTGGCAGTGCCCAGGCTGGGGTATCATATCTGGTGCTGAGGATTGAATGAGGGTTGGCTGTGTGTAAGGCAAGTGCCTTAATACCTGCATTTTCCTGCCCAGTTTAAATTGGTTTGGGTTTTTTTTTCTTTTGACTTTTTGGGTCACACCTGGCAATACACAGGGGTTACTCCTGGCTCTGCACTCAGGAATTACTCCTGGTGCTGCTCGGGGGACCATATGGGATGCTGGGGATCGAAGCAGGGTTGGCCACATGCCAAGCAAATGCCCTTCCCATTGGACTGTCACTCTGGCCCTGTTTGTTTTGACTTGAGCCCAGTAGAATAGAGGTGTTTCACTTGCTTCTAGCCATGATTTGGTGAACATTTTCCATATTCTTATATATTAAAAACAAAAAAGTATAATGCTTTATTTTCTGTTTTTGTTTCTATTCCTCTCTTGGAATAGAAATGAGAGGAGAAAAAAGCTGATTTCTTTCCTTGAGTTCCTCAACTGATGGTTCAGGTCAGGGCCCCTGAGAAGCCCACTCTCACAGCTGCCTTCTCTCACGCCATGTTCTCTCACACCATCTCCCCTCACACCATCATCTCTCGCACCATCTTCTCTTCTGCCAGGACCCAGGGGCACTCTGAGGATGCAGCGAGGGAAATGTTCCACGCAAGGAGCAGGCCCTCCCCTCAGGACTGAGAGGCCCTGAGAATGAGTGAGCACAAGAGCTCCATCTTGCTCCTCACATTGCCACTTCTCCTCCCTGTTGTCTCTGCCTTGTCCCTCAACCCTTCAACTTGTTCTAAGTCTTAGTGTTGTTAAAACGGTCCTAGAGCAGGGAGGTAGCAGAGGCATCAGAGAACACACCAGGGCGTACATATCCCCAGATTCCTCACTCCCTCAGAGAAGAGTCAGCACAGGCCCTCTGGGGAGACACTTTGAGAGACACTTCAAGGTCATCGCACAGAGCCGGGAGCAGGGGGATTTTCTGACCAGTCACCAGGAACACGTCCTCCATCCTCCTGCTCTCATAACCAGACATTTCTTTCACCTGTTTTCCCAGCCAGATCTATATGAACCCCTGACTCCAAACTGAGAGGAAAATGATTTTATTTATGTATTTCTGTGTTTGGGCCACACCCAGTAGTGCTCAGGGGTTATTACTGATTATGCACTCAGGGATCACACCTGGAGGTGCTCAGGGGAACATACTGGATGCCAGGAATTGAACCCGGGTCAGCCGTGTGCAAGGCACTAACCACTATGCTATCGCTCCAGTTCCTCAAGAGGGAGATAATTGCAAAAACGTAAGTATGCCTTCTTCTCAGGTAGCTAGCATCTGGGTAATCTCTTTTTCCTCTCACCAACCCTTGCTTTTCAAGTAACGGACTCTGAGTGGGAGCTCCCCATCGTGGGGTGGAGGTTTGTGTTGTTAAAACGGTCCTAGAGCAGATCTCATTTTAACAACAGGTTTGTGGAGGCCTCTCCCAGGCCCCGGACCCCTTGTCCAGGCTACGACCTCCCACACTGCTGAGAGGGGAGTGGACTGCTTACTCCCCTTGCCCGCTGGGTCTCACTCAGCTGAGATACTGAAACAGTTCAAACTCTTGATCCCCTCACAGTCGCTGTGCTTGCTGGACCCACACATTCCATTCACCCTTGCTCGCTTTCTCCAGAGTGCCAAGTGACCTGACACACCCGGCCGTTCCATCCCAGGAGCCAAGTGGACAAAACAATGGCGCCACCACGCTCTTTGGAACCACTTCGCACTGGCCTGGTTTTCAGATAATGTGTCCAGTGTCTGAGCAGGAGCTGGGGTTGGCGAAGGACATTTTCTAGATAAAATCTATCTGTTTGCCTTGTGTCTGTTTCAGTTTCTCAGACTCAGCCTTGCTCTCCACAGCTCCAGCAGTCCTCCTGAGAGAAATGCAATGAAGTGTGCGAGGGTGGGGTCAGGGTTCTGGGATGACTGTCATTGTGGAGAGTTTGGGGGGAGGCACTAGGGACTCACACCTCAGGCTGGAGACAAGAGCCGACAGCCCTGCCCCCCTTGGTCTGCATGGCCTTGGAGCTGACTTTCACCTTGACCTGCCCTGCCCCCACTGCTAACGCTCCCACATTTCCTGAACTCTCCTGTGGGGTCCTTCTGGACCTCCTTTTTGTGGGGAAGAAATTCTTCCCAGTGACTGGTCTCTCTCTTTTTTTTTTTAACTTTGTGTTTTAAACTCTTTTATGGAGTCACTGTGAGATAGACCATTACAAAGCTGTTCATGATTGGATTCCAGTCATACAGCATTCCAACACCCATCCCTCCACCAGTGTACATTTCCCAGCACCAGTGTCCCCAGGTTCCTTCCCATCACCCCCCACCTCCTGCCTCTATGGCAGGTGCTTTTCTTCTCTCTCTCTCTCTCCCTCTCTCTCTTCCTCTCTCTCTCTCCCTCTCTCTCTCTCTTCCCTCCTCTCTCTCCCCCTCTCTCTCCTTTTGAACCGTGTGGTTTACAATACTGATACTAAAAGATTATCAGAAAATATCCCTTACCTACCTTTAACCCTTGGATCTTGCCAATTACTGGTTTTGACCCTCCTTCCTATTTTGTTTTTTGAGTGGGGCTGAGTTCTGTCAGATGTTTGGAAGGTTGGAAAACAAATTTCTTAAATTGTAGAGTATGACCCCCTAGGGGGCTGGAGCGATAGCACAGCAGTAGGGCGTTTGCCTTGCACACAGCCAACATGGCTGACCCGAGTTTGATTCCTCCGCCCCTCTCGGAGAGCCCCGCAAGCTACCGAGAGTATCTCGCCCGCACGGCAGAGCCTGGAAAGCGACGTGTATTCGATATGCCAAACACAGTAACAACAAAAGTCTCCAACGGAGACGTTACTGGGCCTGCTCGAGCAAATCGATGAACAACGGGAGGACAGTGACAGTGACAGTGACCTCCTAGGGGATGCCTAGCTGAAAGTGGGGGGGTCCCGAAATATTTGGCAATAGTAAAAGGTTTCTGAAATCACAATGACCAAAGATTAAATTAACCGTGGAATGAATCTAAGATGCTCTTGGTGGTGGTCACTCGTATTGCATTTCCTGGGCCAAAAGAGGTTGTGAGTGAAAATAAGCCCTGCCCAACAGACCAGCTCAACTGACCAGGCCCTTGTGATTGGCCCCTTGACACTGCTGTGGATTTTTCCATTGCGAAGAATCTAATGAAGTGAACAGAAATTTTTGGCAGGAGTTAGAAAATGTAGTCAGTTAGGTAACAACTCAAGGCAACACAAACTTAGCCAAGGGCTTTTCTAAAAACCAAGTTTTTCTGCCATTATTTCCCCTCACAGAGTCCTGGAAGCCCACATTAAGAATTTATCTAAATTTTAGCTTTTTTTTTTTTTTTGTCCGACATCTTAGCGCGGTTGCAGTGCCGGCTGCTGCCCTCCGAGCTTCGCGATGCCTCCCAAAGACGACAAGAAAAAGAAAGATGCCGGAAAGTCGGCCAAGAAAGACAAAGACCCCGTGAACAAATCTGGGGGCAAGGCGAAAAAGAAGAAGTGGTCCAAAGGCAAAGTTCGGGACAAGCTCAATAACCTCGTCTTGTTTGACAAAGCCACCTACGACAAGCTCTGCAAGGAAGTCCCCAACTATAAGCTTATCACCCCTGCTGTTGTGTCTGAGAGGCTGAAGATTCGGGGGTCCTTGGCCAGAGCTGCCCTTCAGGAGCTCCTTAGTAAAGGACTTATTAAGCTGGTTTCAAAGCACAGAGCTCAAGTAATTTACACCAGAAACACCAAGGGTGGGGATGCCCCAGCTGCAGGGGAAGATGCGTGAGCAGGTCCCAACTGTACATTTTGAAAAATAAAAACTTTATTAAGTCAAATTAAAAAAAAAGAATTTATCTAAATTTTAATTTTAAAAAAGTATGTTGAACCTG